ATATTGAACCCAAAAGAAGACTCACATAGTAACAGACTCAACGGTTTTCAATCAAATCCTATGATTCATGAGCTCTGGGCGACTCGGGTAATCCTAGAAGATTTGTTGAGAGTGGTCCTTAGGAATCAGTGGGAATTTCCATGCGAACTTGCTTGCAACGAGGAGAGCTTGCCACAGACGGAGATGGACGCCTTGTTTCTTGGTGATTGATAAGAAATCAGGGGCGGAATGTCTTAGATGTTGTTGCCAGGGCTTACAGGATCCACCGGAGATCTTCACTTCAGAGGCAGCCAGCTGGGCTAGTTCTTTTGAGGGCCTCACTGGAGGATGGAGCTATGCACTTCCAAACTCACACATTCCCATGCAGGGGTGGCAAACACCATCACACACCCGGGGGAAGTTTGGTCAAGCATTCGGAAGCGATGGTGTTTAGGAGAAACAATGTTTTTTAGCAGGAGGTCCATTTGCCGTGCGGGACGCTCACTGTCATACCCAAACAAGAGTATTACATCTCAGACAATCCATGCATGCAATATCTTATATCAACACCAGAACCCCCGAGTGACCAGCAAATATTCCAAGCATTGATTGTTTGGCAAGATCGTTTGGTCATGCTCAGCACAGAATGTGAGGGTAGTATGTATATACTCACTATGTGTTTGAATCACCCAATTCAATGTTTAAGATTCTTTTGGGTGTATTCGAGGCCGGCCACCGAGGAACATTCCGCCCAAAAAAGTCAGTGCCGTAGTATAGACACCCTATATATCCCTATATCGTGTACTATCAAACTTATCTAAATCTCATCCAATCATACTAGCTAGTCAGCTAGTCTACCTATTGTAATCTGATCCTCTCCAATAAGCTGATCCCCTCCTGTATCGTTTACTATCATACTACCTTCTTGGAGAGAGTTTCAGCTCGGTCTACCCCAGCTCGATCTATGCCCCCCGTTTCGGCCGAAGTCACGGCGTCGCCCGAGGCACCTGGCCTTGGTCTCACGCTTTGGACAGCTGCTTGAGAGTTCTGCGGGAACGAGCGTGCCGAGCGAGTTCGACGCGCAGTGGGCAGCGGCCATACAGCGGTTCAACCTCCAGGAGCCTGTGATGTGCGTGGGTGAAACAAATCGCAGTATATAATTGCCCTTTGAGTCCAGTCTGGACCCATGCAGTAAAACCTATAGACGTCCTTAAGGTCCTTGAGTAGTGTTATTTGTATGACCAACTCCAGCAAAATGATGCAATTTACCGGTAGGGGGGATAGTGATGATTATTTGCCCAGAACATGTTTTGGCCCCATGGAAGTACATGGATGGTGCTTTGACCAAGTACACAGTTTGGGCTCATTCAACCAAAAGCTTGGGGGCAATTCACCTTCTTCACTTTCAATTCAGTGCCTTATAATCTATAGGTTCTTAATTATAATTATGATATCAGATCAGCAACTCACACTATAATCCTCCAGTCCGCGCTCCACCAACCGGAGCACCTCCCAAAAAGCGCTCGCAAATCGCCGTGCCGCGCCACGCTGCGCTGCGCTTTCGGCAAGGACCACGCATCGAGCGTCGCAGCGCTTGGGGCCTTGGCGTCTCGGGTGACGTCGCTGGGTGGCTCTATGGAGCTGGTGGCGGCGCTGGCCATGCAGGGCTTTTGGCAACTCAGGAGAAGATGGGGTGGGATTCCGTGGAACAGGGTGAAGGAGGGAGGTGGGCACTGCTACGCCACGGAAGTAACGTGGATGACCTGCAGGTCATGTGTTTTTTCAGTGGATTGGGGGACACCCCCACTTAACATGAAGAGGTGCAAGAAGGGTTAAGCTTCTGGGAAACTGAGAGGGTTGGCATTAAGTTTGATAGACTAATATTGACCAGAAGGAGACCCCATGGCCTTTCACGCCCTTGGTTGGTTGATGACAACTAATTGGTCATGCACAAGCAATATCAGGCAATAGGTCATATATGGTACCAAATTGACCCCTCTATAATTCCCAAAAGGACACGATTGCCGGGGCGGTGGACAGGGTCAATCTGATCGACCGATCAACCAGGATACACGCGAGGGGGAGTCAATAGAAGGAGTCATCAGCTTCGTTTGGGACACAGCAGTTAATGTATTCAGCAGATCGGTGGTCCTGCTGGCTTCGCCACATGTTATGCCAAAAGTAAAGGACACGCAAGTGTACAGAGATAGACTTGAATGGTACAGGGGACAGAGCTAAGTAACCTATACCTTCCATCTAATCGTATCCATTCATCTCATCCTCGATGTGTCTTTGTTCGGACTTGCTCTTAAGATTCTTGCAGATACCACTCTCACTTGACCTGCTGTTTACGCCCCGGCTAGCCGCCTGCCGCCAGGACCGTTTGCGCCGACACCCTCCTCCGCTGCCAACGCCAGGAGGAGAGGCGTTGGATAGAAGCTGGGCGCGCCAGCGCGCAGCTGGCGAAATGGCGCCCAGGTGGTGTCTCGGAGCATTTGGTGGGGAAACCGTGAGGTCCATGTGTTTAAAGCTGAGTTTGAATGATCAAGTTCTTGGCGGGACCAAAATAATAAATCGTACACACACGCACGCGCGCCCACACACAAAAAAGTAAAAATGCCCTTTGCCAAGCTCTCAGGCCATGCGTCAAGACTTCCGTTTTTGGGTGTCCAAAAGGATTTCATGAAACCCAAAGAGGAAATCGTGGATACCGCGAATGGATTCAACTATTGCGAAGGGCTTTAAAAGGGGATGGAATGGATTCACCTGTTGCGAGTGCTGGCGGAAAGTCGAATGTGTCACACCTTGACATACCTGTCACAGGTGGGGGCTTCACATGGTTTCCCCAAAACAAATGCTATTCGGTAGATATGCCTTTGGGTGGATCCCACATCCTCAGGACGTCCACGAAGCCCACCAGTATGAGAGCCTACTGTGAGAAGTACCCAAAGTCATGTGAGAAGTCATGTACCAAGACCCGCGGTCCTTGTGGTTAATGGATGTTCTCCCTTGCCCTTAACCCCTTAAGGTGGCGGCCTATTAATAAACGCCTCAAACGAAAGTCCCTTGGTCCATTGGTAGAGTTACTTACTGCCTTTTGGAGCAGTTTCAGTGCACCTCAGCCAGGGCTAGAAGAGTTACTTACTGCCTTTTGGTTTCGTCTCCCTTTTGACCTCTGAGCAGTTTCAGTGCACTTCAGTTCCTCAGTTCCGGCTCCTCCCAGACCCATCCGAGGCTTCCTCAACGCCGCAGAAATCGCCGCCGCCGTGCCGCGGGTCAGCGGTGGCGGGGCTTACCTCCTGGCCGGCGCGTTGTCGACCTTTGGGGTCGAGGAACAGGACTGCCAAGTGGAAGATGCTGTGTGGTTCAAGGAGCTGAGAACGGAGAACTACTACAACGGAGAACTACTACTATAGTATCTACATGTATCGTGAAACATATTTAGACAAGGTCCTTGGGAGATGATGGTCTTAGCTGCTCCTTTGGATTGGTTTTTGGATGTCTCTATGTCTATGTATGTTCTTTGCAATTGGTCTTTGGGAATGGACGGCCAGCGCACGGCTTTGGACCCTCAACATCTACTGTTTGCTGTGACTCGTGGAAACTGACCAGTTCGTCATTGGTCACACTAGGACCTCACCCTACTGATGCCTGGAGCGGCGGATGCGCGCAAGGCCTTCGCGCCTCTTGGATCCACATCTGGCCCGGGGTGAACTCGACTCGAACCACCTTGGGGGGGTCCGGTGGGGATGGCTCCCGTTTTGATGTCATAATATCATGTCAAGCCGCACCTTTTCGGCAGATCTAAAAGGAGTGCGGTCCGTCGGACGGTGGAGGCCGAAGTCCCGGCGAGTTAGACATAAATAGTTAGAGCCTCTCAAGTCGCCAAGGTCTTCAGCCCTCAACATGTCATGTCGCCAGGGTAGCCCAGCCCTGCCGCAGCCTATCTCACGACATTCACAGCTTTCACCAAGCTCGCTGGCCGGAAAGCCTTTGGGCGTCCGACGCCGATGCACGTCCGCTTGGCATCGGCATCTCTAGGCTCAGCCAAGTGACCTCCATCGAAGCTCTGCAGCGCTTGCCCACCTACACCGTTGCTTGGACATGAGGGAGCTGTGCGGCTGAGAGGAAGAACACATCCCAGACACTTAGAGGTCCACCAAAGAACGGGGACGCCAGCTTTGGTTCGGAGCAATACTCGATGCCTTATTGGGCCTAAAGTTTACAGGGGGAAGCCTCGGGGGCTGGGGTCATGGTCCATGATGGGAAAGTTTTAATTTTGGTTTTCAGAACCAGGTCTTACGATGGAGTACCTTAATTGATCCTAATTGATGCCGTTCGGGAAGACCACTGCAGACGCTTACTGTTCCATCTATTCATCCATTGGTATCTGGAAAAGAACGGGACGCCAACAGCTAAGAGCAAAAAATACATGCTACTTGAAACAAGAAAAACTCCGCATCACTGCGTCCACCTATATCCACCTCCACTCTGTAGAGCCAGGCCGTTGGCTTCAACTTGGGCGTGCTCTTGGGTTATGATCTCGGAGTTATGACGCCCTTGGAAGGCAGCCCAGCACCCAACGTGCTTGGCCGTCGTTGCTCGTTGCGAGTCGTCCAGGTGATGAGGTCATCCGTCCTGGTTATCACGGGAGATGGCCATCACCCAATGGCCCAAGTCCTGGTAGAGACCCATTCAGATTCAGTGGACAACCTTGAAGCTTTTCTGGGGATGGTTTCCCCTTTCGGAAAACCAAAAGGAGAGTTTAGTATTCTGTCCATTTCAACATCAATTCAATGTGTTCCAGTAATTTCCAGTATGTATGAATGTTGTTTATTTGAAAAGAGGGGCGAGGCCCACCTAGGCTTTGTTTGTCTTCAATCTTGGTCCAATCCAAGCTCGTGGGCAAAGATAAACAGGAATGAATCATATACAGATCAACAGATGCTCCAACGTGTTGTCTCCAAAAGATTCCTGAATCAACATGATTTTAATCTATAGGAACCCTGGGGGGGGACATCTCTTTCTTCCCCTTCTCCTTCGTCAGGTGAGCTGGCCATGGAGTGGGCGGGCGATCAAGTGGCTGGTGCCACCTTCCGTGCACGTCTGGCAGGCGAGGCGTTTTTGGAGCAAAGCACTGGGGAGGTGCAGTCCATCATCCATTCGTCTCTCTTTGTCTTCTGTTGGCGCCAGTAACTGGGCGGGGTGGGTCAGTCCCTAGCTTCTGAAGAATTGGGGGGAGCCTGAATGGGTCATATACAGCTATGCTACCCTTTGGAATCCCCAGCTGATCTTTCCCAGTGGTCAGCGGTTGTTGAATTTGGTGATGGCTGCTTTGATTTGAATGAAGTACCTACCTACAACCCTCAAAAAGGCGAAAAGAGCAGTGGCCCAATGGCCCGGAACCTCTGTAGCTTCCCCAAACCCCAGTGGTCTCAGTGGTCCCAACAATTTCATGAATCAGCACTTGAAAAGCTTCCTTGAAGCCATGTTCCTTCATTAACCCATGCATCATGAACTTGTGTACAGGCGCCAGCAATGCGGAGCTGACCACCGCCTATCTCTCGGCAGCCCAGGTGCAGCAGTTTTTTTTTTTGCTGCGTTCCGCTTGGCATCAGAGCTTGGGGCATATTGTTTGACAATGCCCACAGGGTGACATCAATTTGACCAGGAGAATTCAGGCTTTCTTCAATAGCCAGAGCCCAATCAAACTCAATGCTCTTTAATGGGAAGTATCGGCGCTGTATAAACCTTCGGAAGCACCCGGTTGGAGAATGACTTCCTCACGATGGATGTGTTTTTTTGTTGCGTGTTTGAGGATGCGGTAGAACAACCACGATGGGTTGACTCTTTTAATTTCAAGCCGGTCACTATAAATATAGTCAGATCAGATCTGTGGCACAATGCTCTGTACGATGAGTCGCCAATCCATTGATACACATGGTGGACACATTACGTCGTTGGCTCTTGAGATGCTGCTTTCGTGACGCAAAATTCTTCGAACATCCAAGTGAGAAAATTCCGTCCAAATGGGGTGCAGAAAAAAAGAAACGGGGTCCAAACCAAATATAACCAAACCGCGGTGGTCGACTCACCTGCAAATCGGGGTCCTTCCAAATGACTTCGAGATCTTTCGGGTTCATCCAAATCTGCGCGACTCCGGCCATGTCGTTGCTCAAGTCGCACTCCTTGCTCAGAGCTGCAGAGTCCGAGGTTGACTTTGTGGGAGATGTAGATAGGATGAGTCAAGTATAGGCGACGTATACTTGGAATCTCAAAGGCATGCTGGAAAATGGTACATCACCTCATGACCCCTCACCCGCAAAGAGATATCCGATACAGCACCAAAGCCACTTTGAGACTCCACCTGCAGCCACGTTGGGCAGGCTGCTTGATAGCAAGTCTAATTGAAACAGGACCCGGTGGACCCTGCAAGCTTCCAGACATCTCGCGTCTTGCGAAAGGCTAGGTGAGACGGGAAGGCTGAAACTTGTTGGGTTTGCAGCCACAGGATGATCCAACAAGACAGCTTGGATTGGAAGGTCCATTGAGAGCTGCTACAGTTCTCGAGCTTTGGTAGGGTACTTGGTCTTCATCACAGGCGCCTCCTATAGACCAGGTGCTTAAGCGGCTTAACCTGGAGGAACCTGCACATAGAGATACAACACTGGCCGAAGCGCATCGTCGATGTTCCCCTGTGAATCCTTTGAACTCCTTTTCACCCATTCTTTGAGAAGCTCCCCCAGCTTTCGGGTGGCAACCTCTATAGATTTTACACCCCTTCTAAACTCCCCCCAAACCCAACCAGCGAAACCTCTCCCACGTGACATCGCCCATCCGATTGTTGATCGTGATGGTCGACTGAGACACGGGCCTGGGACTGAGACACGGAGCTGGGAGGTCGGGCAGGGTGTTGTTGTATTTGTTGCACAACCTGCCTGCATCATTTAGAAGAGACCAGGGATACCCATGGAATACAGTATTCTGCATCTATCTAGTAATCTAGTACAGTATATCTGTACATCATCCATCATCATCCATTCTGAACCTGTTTTGGCCAAGATGATCACTGGAAGAATCGAATCAGGCCCTTTTTTGTATCATTGTTGTGGATTCTGTATATAGTAGGATTTGTTTTTCGCTCACATGTGAGAACTTGAGATAAACATGTCATTCGTCTTGAACCTCCCTCGGCACGCTTCCACTTGGTCACGTTTAACACGTTTAACAACTTGCCGAAGGTTTGATGCTCAAGGCAGGGTCATTCACGACGATTTGGTCGACATACAAACAAACGCTGCACTCGTTACAAGCGGCCACAGAAACTTTGCAACAAGGGATTGTATGATTTTCACAGGTCAAAAAGGCCCCATTTGGTGCACATCCAAAAAACTGCTGCCTTAGTGCGGTTTAGCACCCGCCAAGGTGTGAGGACGACAAGTCCATGTGCTGATTCGGGTGTCCCCTGATTCATCCGGCATACTGTTGCGGCAACAGGGGCCCATATCTGAGTCGATGCAATGGGTCATACTCGGCTATGCTTAAGTCTTCTATACGATTAAACACTATTGAACCGCAGAAATCCGCAGAGCACTTACTCCCCCCTGATTCTTCTCAAAAAACGAAAAACACTCGGCCGCCTTCCTGGTCAAGCCGCCCATGGAGATCTCAGCTTCCAAGAAGATCCTTTGGCTTTGCTCCCCGGAACTCCTCGATCCCTCCACGCTGGGACCGCCAGTTGCAGCGTCGCCGTCGGGAATCGCTCTGCGTGGACTCTTTGTGGTGAACAGCTCGGTGGGGCGGGAGCACTACCTCGAGAGTCCATTGGCATGGCATGGGCTGGGTGGAGGGCTCACGAGGCGAGGGAGTGGGGGACGAGGGCTGGCCATGCCCAAATGTTTGAGGTCATGTGTCTTAGATGTGGGGGTTGCGAAGTGGAGGCCATTGGATTCGAGTGGACATCGGAGAGTTAATGGTAGGCTTACGGGCTATGGAATGGCATGGCATGGGTCAAGGGGAGACCAAGCACAACTTTGTCACTGCACTTCCCATTTAAAAATTCTATTTGAGCAGCTCGATTAAGAGCAGCGCAACCTTTAAGCAGTTAAACCTACATTGCAGTTGTGCTTTTTGTTGCTTGTCCGTGCTTGTCCCAGTTTACTGTGTCATCAGTAGTTCAGCTAATGACCTAATGTAGTTGTTTCCATTCCTGTGTACTTGCAGCATGCGCCAGCACGCTGTAAAGTCAAGTAAAATCCAATGTTTTGCTGTTTCGAGCGCTGGGTGCACGGTGCGACTGTGAGCATTGGAGAAAAGCAGGCGTGGTAGATTTCAGGCAAAAGAAGAATCTGCGCAAGAGACAGTTCTAGTATGTTCTTTTACTGAACTATAGCTGCACAAAGCTTTGAACAAAAGGGCCATCACCTGACTCTTTAGTCCAAAAGTGAGCTGGGTGGAACAAGCAACTAGTAATAGAACAAACGAGTCGCTCAGCAGGTTTGATTGTTGACACAAAAACCCACGTCTTATTGCCGGTAATGATGTGATTTGGAGATGCGGCCCCGATGAGGAAACGTGTGTTTTTTTCTTCCCCAACAGCCAGGGAGAACGGCAAAATCGTGTGGCAAGTCCATCGTCACGGCCAAGTCGGGTCGAAATCTGCCAGATCTGCTGAGATTTACTTGGCAATATGTGTCTTTAACCCAAGCCACATTGAATTGGCCGTATACAACAGACATGGAAAACCTGCGCACGTTTGAGTCTTATTGACTCATTGCTCACTGATACTCTTCAGAACTTTGTATGCGTGTCACTACTAACTTCCATCGCCCAGGTATTGCGATCGAAAGCAAGAGGCAGTGGGGCAACCTGGATGGAATTTGAGGTGGAACAAGTTGCATATTCTAGTTTACTGTGGAGTCATTTTCTACTTGTATCTGCAAGAAAACGGTTTGGCTGCAGAAACACAGCACGGCTTTGATCATTTTTAATCTGGAATCCCAAAACATGGATCCAAGTGAACACTGTTCTTGTTTTTGCAGTTCTTTTGCGAAAGGCTGGACCCTTCACTTGGCCCAGGTGCCTCAGTGGATTTGACGCTGGAGACGTGCAGCCCCGAGGACTTTGGAGGGGAATCCATCGCTCAGGTGCCTCAGCGATTGGAGGCTCTGAGCCGCTACGATTTCATCGCGCCTCGGAGGCCGTCAGACTCGGTGGAGGTCGGAAGGCGCGACGGGTCGCGACTCGAGGTGTGTGAAGAAATGATTGAAAGAAAGGGACTGGTGGACCGGTGGTTTTCTGCCAAGTAGGCACTACTAAGCCTACTAAGCCAAGCGACACGTTTAAGCTGTTATATACTCTGGGGCTGTATAGAGGACTGATTCTTGCCGAGCATACGCAAGCAGCAGAAACCAAGCATACACTATCCAAGTACAGGCAAAGAAAGTTTTGCATACACTATCATCCAAGTACAGGCCAACAATTTGTTGCATTTGCATGGTTGAACGGTTCCCAAAGTATATCCAGGATTCTGACCATCTACAGAGACCATTGATTGAGTGAGTTTCTCACTAGCCGCTCCCCTAATGTAACTGCCTGAGAAGCAGCGACCAGAAATGTAATGCCTAGATTTTCCAGGAAGAAAAAACCTATTTCCACAAGCATTGTCCCAGATTTCCTGTGGTCTGATGCATGTCCCAGCCAAGCTTTGATGTGTTTCATTCTACGTACCTTGATCCAAGGGGGCTGGCATAGCATCGCAATGTCTTTGACCACTTGGCTTGCGAGTACCGGTGACAGTTGGCAAACAATTGTCACTATAGTTCAGAAAAAGGCCTTTACTCACCATATCTAACCATCATCATCCACTGTTGCTGGTAAGAGGATAGACCCAATGTACGAGATTGCTTGGATGGGTCATCCCGGTCTCAGGTTTGGATCCGTTCGTACTTACCCTGGTAGGTCATCCTGGTCATGTTTGGATTGCTTGGATTTTCAGGTCTTGGGTGGCGGCAAGCGCACCAGCATGACAGAGCATGAGGGCTGGAAGGAGATCCTCAAGCGCTTGAAGGTTCCACTGCTGGGCATTTGCCTAGGACCGGTGGTACCGAAGAAGCACCGTGACGAGTCTGACGGTGCTCTTGGAGCATTGTTCCTGGCACCAACTTCTCAGTTGGGGGGAACCAACAAAAAAGCGCGCAAAAAAGAGGATCATTAGATGATGTCTTGGATTAGCATTGGATTTTCATTTATGTTGGATTCCAAAGATTTGGCTCTTCCATCGGACACCACCCGGGGAGCGCACGTGCGGCGCACCGTTCACGCAGGATCGCAACAGCTGACGCGGGCGCATGGGATGAAGCTCAGCAAGCTGGAGACTGGGCTGGAAGAGATGAGTCTCACGAACTTGGAGGGTCTTCGACCCCTCTCCTAAATGAATGAACATGAATAACACCTCCTTTTAGATATGGATTGTAACACCTCTTCAGGCTTGGAGGTTTTATTAATCAACAGTAATCATTAAACAATGTGCTTGTGAGTTTGTTCATGGGGATCACCCTATTCCAATGTGTAAATAGTGCGAGATGAGAAGAAGTCCACAAGTCCTACCCTCCTACCCTATCCGCCTTTTCTTGGTGCAAGGATCGCAAGTATGTTTGCACACGGCCATTCATGAACTTGGCATCCAACGGCGAGCTTTGCTTCAGTCATGAGTTTGGCACCTACGTGCGTCAGTTCAAGGGGCGAAAACACTTCAAAGTCATTTGGTCCCACAAGCTCATGAATTCAGAGGGAAAGGAGGTGGACATCAGCATGCTGCATCTCAGCTGTGTTTAGCGCATGAAGTCACAAGTTGTTGGGCCGCTAGAAGGTCAGGACAGGTCGAATTCGCCAAAGATGGATTAACTCAAGCCAGCATAAGCCAGCTCAAGCTTTCCCAGGTATCTACAATTTCAGTCTTAACACATCCACGCATCAATCATGCATACAGAACCCAAGTGTGTCTTTTGGTCTGTGGCGAGGGCCTAGTTTAGTTGGATTCGGTTCACGATCATCCTGAACATGTCCCTCAGACATATGGCATGGGCTGGGGATGGCCAGGGTGATCCAAACCCATCACCCCGCCACCCTAAAAAGGAGCCATCCATCCACACGCACCTCCAGAATCGCCATCCGCATCCCTCCACCGTCTCCCACTCCAGGTACGAGTACCAGGATCCCTCTGGCAAGTACATGCTGGGCTGCCAGGGTCATCCCGAAAAGCCGGCCACCGAGCCCTCCGTGCGGCAGGAGCTCTTCGGGCGCTTCTTCCGGGCAGTGGAGCGCGTGCGCACGCGCGGAGGCTCCGTGCGTGGGAGCGAAGAGTTGGAGCAGGTGGAGGCGGTGGAGGGATCCAATCTTCTGGATGGATGCGATGTGGAGAATGGATTGAAACTGGAAGAGGAATGCGGAATTGGATGTGACGGATCTTTGAACCTGGAAGAGGACGAGGGATCTTCGGTGGATCAAGGTGAAGATGATGGAGGAGATGGAGATGACATTGAGTCATCTTGAGTAGATGGATCTTCGTAACGAGCCCACGCGCGATCCAGGTGCTTGGTGAGACGATCAGATCCAGGTGCTTGGTGGGGCCCAAGAGATCATGGACAAGATGAAGTCGAGCATCTCGGTGGACCTTTGAAGAAAGAAGATCATCGGGGAATATCTGGTCATTACAGGATGAGTCCTTCAATGATATTCCAAGATGGGAGCAACTGCAACGTCACAACCTTGAAATGTAAGTCACTTGCAGTGTATATGCAGTATCTCCGAATATATCAATGCGTTTCAAAATATTTTGTAATTTTAGATGTCTTGCAAATGCAGAATGTCCAATACTCTGAGCTTGACAATCTTCACAAAGAGGGTGTTTGCCAGAGGGTCCATTTAACTGCACTCCACTCCATCCAATAGTTTCGGAGCTGCGGACAACCGACATTTCCAAGTTTGAGGTGTGCTTGGCCTTCCTGCTATGCATTACTATGGTCCCAAATGTGGCAGAGGGATTCCATCGTGGTGTGATGGGGAAGAGAGTGGTTCAATTCATCCTCAATTACAATTTGCCAGAGCTGACGAATTGACACGGGCTGCATACTTGTTTGCAGCAAACAAGGCGACCCATATCTCTTTGAAAGACATGCGCCTTCCAATGCCTTCAACCTCCTGGAAGGGAACACCAATGCCTTCAAACTCCTGGAAGGGAATCCTCCGGAAGTGGATGAAGCGCAGAAGTGGATGATGCGTACTGTCACACCGACCAACAGGTGGAACAAGAGGCAAAGCACCTCATGTTCATCAGGCCGTCAAGCCAGATTTCCCGTCGCTGGCCACGGATTTGATGCTTTCAACGTCGGCAAGCGCTGCCTGACCTTGGCCCAAGACTGAGCGGAGTCCGCCCGAAGTGGTGCACAAGTACTGCTGCTGCGCTAAATGGGACCCCGTGGTGATTGACCTGCCTTTCCTTGTAGGAAGTTTGTTTGGGCAAGAGCTTGGCAAGCTCTCAGTGCACGATCAGGTCAAGTTCAATGAATGCCATACCATCACAAGCATACCCAGTGTCATTCTTGTTAGCTACAAGAAAGATGAACTTGAACTCATACTACCCAGGGTTTGCTATGCTACAATACCCAGGGTATACTGTGCTTTGCTACTTTGTTTGCTACAATGCCCAAGGTATTCCAGGGTTTACTTTGATCCTGGTTATTCTATTCGAGTAGCTAGTTTGCCCATAGCCGAGCGTACCCAAGGTTGAAACAGCCTCCCTCTAACACTTCTGCATCCGAAAACCTTCTTTAGCATCACTGCAACAGTGACAATTGAATGCCTCTTTACTAGAACCAGGCAACTATTGACATCTAGATCCTGAGTGCATCATTCATGGGGCCTTGAAGGTCCTTGAAACAAACCCCAATATTCAAGGCAATATTCCTGTAACATATGTCCGGTTGCCCTGCCATGATTGTTGAACAAGGTAACGATGAATATTGACCGAATCCCAAAGAAACCCTGTTCAAATGTTCAACTTCTTGCTACCTCTTGCCACAGATCTTGCACTGCAGATCTAAAGAATCTATTGACCACCAGGCAATCATGCTACCTAGATGTGCTTGGTGAATGTGTTGAACATTGGCCCCTGAAGACCACTTGTCTCTACGAAAAGGATTAAGACTTCAGATTGATCAAGGAAGGTATGGCATTTGAGCTGCACACACTTGAGTACCAAGGAAACAGACCCTGACCCTTCTGGGTCAATGTGCTAGCCTGTGCCAGCGTGCTTCTGAACACACTAAGTGCTTAGTCAAAGTTCACACACCTCGACCAAGGGGCCGAAAGGGCTGATGCCACCTGATGTGGGGCCGAAAGGACTGATTCCACGTATGGGACTTCTCCGCCCTGGCAACAGCAGACGAGCTCGTGGAGCTTTGGCTCAGAGCCAACTGGGCAGACTCGGGCAGACAGGGCCACAAGAGAACATGTCCTGTGAAAGAGAGTGGACCTCCCACAGCTCACAGACACCAATTTCAGGATCAACACCAGTACGGACAAGTCATGTCCGGGAAAGGTTTCCAGGAGATTAATTGACCACACCTACCTCATTGTGAGGTTTTACCATCTAACCCCTGCAGCTCAAATCACGTTGCATGTCCATCCCGTGAGGGATGGAGGCTATACCATCATCTAGTAGGCTCAATCACCATCTAACCCTGCCATGCATATTGGTGTCTTTCACATGTCATCCATGGTCATTGCCATCCGGCGCCAAAGTCCAGCGCCGCATGTCGCTAGTGGCCAACTCCTGTCGCTGGGCCAACTTGTGGGACTGTGGGAAGCTGAAGCAGCTGCAGGTGAAAGCTAGTGAGGCGTGAGTCTCAACCCGAGTGGGGCGTGAGGTCACTTGCGATGTCAAATTTGTGTGAACATAGAAGACCAGCTGGTGTCCTGGTGTTGTTGTCCTAGGTTGGGGAACTGTTTTGGAGCTTTGAACCGCAACCACATGGACACCTGATAGGCCCCTGAGGCATAGCTAGTTTGTGGGAGGAGTCCCGTGACACATGAGGGGTCCATCGAGAAAAATCCATAAGAAGATCTTCAAAGGACCAACACCAGAGGAACTAGCTGGGGGATATCCCTATTAATCATATAATCATATTCACCTGTAGACCCTGGAGTTCATTTGGTTGTGCAATTGAAATAGGGAGACCCCCTGGCCCCTGGCCCAATGGTTTTTGGTCTATTTTCCCTTCTTCCAGCCAGGTCGAACTTGGAGGTCGGACCTCCCCCCTATTTTAAGACCCATTCATGTGGTGTTCTTTTGGCCCTTCGATCACTCCAAGGCTGGTACAGCCCCCAATGCGTGGGGATCAACGACTTGCATGAGAAGGCGCTGCCGTGCAGAACTGCTGAAACGACCGGACGTGGCGGGACGTGTGGCGGGACGTGTCACCTTGGTGACTCGACCTTGGTGAGTTGTGTCGATTCGATTTTTCAACTCATCGAGTTCTTCTGATTTGCTTGGATGTCCAATACATTATTATAGTTTATTACATGAATTTACAGTAATTGGTCAGCCTTTTTGTTTGAGCTGAATGAGTTGCAAAGGAGAGCAGCACATTTTTTGGAAAGTCGAGGCTTTTTGGGATCCGTTTAAGCTTCCGCAAAGCAAGCTTCGAAGCATGCACCACATGTGATTGAAGGTACAGGCGAGATCAGAAGATGAGATAGGTGATTTTGTGGAATCCCAGTACCTGGTGAAGATTTGCTGTTTTTGTCCCACCTTCCTGGGAACCGCATATCCAAGGAAGATGACGTGTCATTTCCCAATGATTCTCAAGCAATCTGATGACGAACACTCTCACAATTGTGGGGAACGGTCTTTACTACCCATCATCATAGACGGTTACTGGTAATGGGTGGGATTCTCAGGACACCCTGAGTTTTTTTGCATTATCTCAAATGGAAGGCAGGGAGTTTGCCTTGTCTTACCAAAGTTCCATCAGTTTCTTTGTCTTAGACTTCAATGTTAGACGTCGCGACCATATGAGACGCCCTGTCAAAAACCCATTTGTTATTCCGTCGTCGCTGTTTCGATTTTGGTTACCTGTGCAACCGTCTTGACTGGCCGCTGTACTTTGTTTTTTCTTAACGGTTTTTCTTTCTGAAGCCATTCCGGTTGTTACGGTTGCAGAGAACCGGTTTACAAGGCCTGCAACCTAAGCATCATCATGCACTGGCAAACTGGCAGATGAATCAGATGGGATAGACTGACCGGCAGGTCCTTGACCGACCGGCAGGTCCTTCGTGGCTGTCCCAGCTTCGAGATGTGCTGCTTCTTCGATGGCCACCACGGTGCGCGCTGCTGGGATGCCCAAGCCGGCTACACCTACGAGCGGCGCCCCGGTGTAAAGGACGAGTGGACGGAGCTAAACCAACGCACGGAGGACGTGGCACGGTGGGATGAGGACGTGGCATTTGGCTGAAGAATGATGCATTTTGGTGGAAAATACAATGTCCTGCTGCATCAGATTTAAGAAAGGATTTTGGGAGGATACATTCAACGCATTCATCGAGGGAAAGAATACAGCACCTGGAGTCATGAACCATAGAAGTCTATGACTCGTGCTTGATCTTGTCCTGGCTAACAACACAGCATCCAACGTACATTGCACATACATTGGTCTTGGATTATTCTTCCATCAACCGTTTTGCGTGCATTGTACATCTCCTCCTTTTGAACTCACTGTGTTGGAACGGAGCTACTACTCGATTCGCGCTCAGCCGGGTGAGTTCTTTACCAGAGTGGATTGAGAAATCACCCGGCTGAGCCCAAGACTGGTCGGGCTCCAGGTTTGGACCGCTCTAGAGTCTGAACATGTTAGGGACTAGTCCCCAATGCACCTCGGGACATGGTATATCTGGAAGAGTGTATACGGGGATGGGTCAAAAACCTGGAGCCCGACCAGTCCACCATTTGCCGCGGACGACCGTACCGCCTGGTAGGTGAACCGGTCGGTATCGTGGTGCCATGATCCACAGCCTATATAGCTTAACCTTTTGCGCTGGTAGGCGGTGCTTTGGACCCCCAGGTGCTTTGGACCCCAGCCACCCAGGTGCTTTGGACCCCCAGGTGCTTTGGACCCCAGCCACCTAGGTGCTTTGGACCCCCAGGTGCTTTGGACCCCCAGCCACCCAGGTGCTTTGGACCCCCACCCATTCAGCTGCTTTGGACCCCCGGCCACCCAGGTGCTGCTCCTTGGGCTCCGAGAACAACGAGCGCCACATCCCCTTGTGGCACTCACGGTGGATCTTGCTGGAGCTACGCAGCTCAGCGAGCAAAATTGCAGGGGGTCGGTTTGAAGAGGGCTTAAGGAGAGTAGACCCATGGACTTCATGAAGACTTGGAAGAGAATTGGTTTAAAGATATTGAAAGGGTGTGCAAGGCTATTTACTTAGAGATCTTTGGATCCGTAAATTAAATGAGTTCAAAGTAGGTAACTTTAATGGGCCTTGGCAGCTTTGCCATATATGCATGTACGTATGTGTTTAAGGAGCGATCGCATGACCTTGCCACAGAACATCGTTACATATTGTGACATCATTGTGCCCTGAATGCCAGACAAGAGACAGACAAATCCTTCCCTCAAGCCATACATCCAGATCAGCAGTTTCAACAGCATTCAACAGCTCGGAGTCGAAGTCCCTCACATCGTTTCACAGATCTGATCTTCTTCGTCAGTTTCTGGGAGCAGATGTTGTTCTTTGTTCCCTAGGGATCCCGTCCCAGATCCTCAGGTGAAGGTGCTTTAGGCCTTGGGGTGGGCACCAGGAACCATTGTCCCTACCTTCTGGAGGATGTGGAACTGGAGCCCTAGAATTCTTGAACACGTCGATGTGGGATGTGTGTCATGACGTGAGGCAATGGTGGGTACTTGAACATCTCTCAGGAGCCGACCAGTAACGAGTGGGCCGCTTATCGAGATGAGCTGCTTGGCCAATGTGATGTCGGGGTGGAGTCACACAACACCCACCCAGTCAGTGAATCACCTTACTTTAACCCTTCTTACAGATTGGTTTCCCACTAAACAAGATCAGTTGGAACATGGTTGACCTCCATTTTTGAGGGAAACTGAGGGGGTCAGCAAGAACACCGTGAAACCGAACTGATGAAGCGACTGGTGAGTCAATATACACAGTTTTCTGAAGTTATTGAACTTGATGTCCTCGTTCTGCATGGCATGGCCGAAGGTCAACTGAGGGACTGCGACCAGTCACTTCTTGTTTTACAGAAGTCAGCTCCCAATCCACCCAATCTAATGATATCTAGTTGTATTGTTATTACCCTCCCTCCTTCCAACATTTCTGGAATTGGACAAGCCCCTCTTTGTGGAGGAAAATGGTCTTTCCAGGGTCCACGCCATCCACGTCCATGAGGACGTTGGAGGGAGGGTATTCTTCTTGTTGAACCTTTGCGGTGTGTTTCGAGTGTGTGTGCTCAGGAGCAGGAGGTCATTTCATATGAACCAGGACCCTCACTGCCAGGTCACCACCTGCCACCCACCACTCTTTTAGTCTCCAAAAGCTACCAGAGGAGCCCGTGCTGGAGCTCCATCTGAGGAACATCCCAGGACTCCTTTGGAAGTCCGCCTATGCGATGTTCCGTTGGCTGGAGGCCCTGGCGGCTCCTCCGTTCCAGATCTTCAGAGACTTCATTGCAGTTGGATTTAGAGTGCTTTCAGAGGTGCAGCATGGCACCAAGAGTCGACTGACTGATGGGGGGTCCACTACTAAACCACCGAACTTGGGGAACATATTGTGCCATCTACTTGGAAAGCACGTACAACGAAAGTCTTGGAGGGACACAGTCAGTGGCCGACTGATGAGACTGATCAGCATCGCTGCATTGTTGCCCTATTCCCAAGGGTCCAGGACCATCCGTCCCTTGACCCCAAAGACCATTCTCTGGAAGTACGAACTCACCTCCAAGACTCCAAGACCATCCCCAGCAGGTACCTGGACTCGAACTGGGATTCTGTTTTAGGCCGAACAAGACGAATCTGATATGAATATCATGGTATGTGTCGAATCTCCTGTTGATGAGTATCATGTTCCCTGGCCTCGTGGATGGATACGTTCGGGAGGTATAGTGACTATAACTATTTCGATTGATTGCCCACTCCTGCAATGATTCAAGGGCAATGTGTTCCGATGTATTGGAAGATTCCCAAGTAACAACATTGTAAAAAACACGAAGGTTTTCTTCCATCAGCTTCAGTTGTTCTCCCCTGTAGTGGCCGCCACGACCCTTCACTATGACCACCAAACTCAACGTTCGCACCTATGTTGCGCCGTGTTGCGCCGCTTTCGAGCTCACACCGCGCGTAGACCGAGGAGGGCGCCGAGTGTTGGAGCTGGGCGCGGGGATTGGTCTACTGTCCATCATGGCGGCCTTGGGAGGAGCAGCCGAGGCCTGAGCCTCTCTCGGTGCTTCAGGTGGTGGTGACACACGACGGTGTGTGATGAGACCGACAAGTGGGGAGTATCGCTTTTTTGGTGAGGTTTTGTTGGGTAGGTTGGCTAGTATCATTGTACCTGCCTCAGCGATTCAAAGTGGTGTTGGATAGGCTTCAATGTTGAGAGGTGTTCTAATTGAATCCTGGGGTGAGGCTACCTCTTGGCTCTTTTGAAGGATGTGGTTTCATCAAATTGCTGGAATAGGGTGAAGAGATTACAAATTAATACAAATTATATATACATATATATACATACATCCTTTTTTGAGTTGACACCACAAGTATACCATGAATGACATGTCAGAGACGACCATTAACCACTGCCGCTTTGCCTCCCGTTGTATGAAGCCCACGACCTCGTTCTCGGAGGTGGTTTCCACAGATGCCTCCTGGAGTCCCTTGACTTGAACGGCGGCGGCATACTGCTAGATCTGGATGGAACAACAAGTGGATGAAAAGGGCGAGCTGTTGTTTTAGATATTGTTATATGTGATGTGTTTTTGTTTAACCATCATACTGCTAGATCTTGTTTAAGTGTTGTTTGTTTGTTTGTTTTGGATGGCTTTAAAAGTGGTCGAACAATCCTGCTCCACCTTTCTACTGTGGCCACCGTAGCATAGCTCAGGGTGAGCTTTGATGCGGTTCGGCGGGGTTACAGTACCGGTTACACTGAAACTGTTGAACAGTTCTTCAGAGATCTGGATAATGGCAACCCTGTCGTGCAGTGTTCAGCCTGGGCGTTTTCAGCCTGGGCTTGTGTGTAGCAGCTCAGGTTACACCCTAAGAATCAAGGACCCTCAAAGGTGAAGGTTCTGAGGTCCAAACCCCTGCTATGCAGGGTCAAAACCCTCCAGTTCGGAGGGTCCACTGATTCTTAGGGCACAACATTTACAGGACGCTGCCTGTTTCGACCTTTTCCCAAGAATCAGATTCCCACAGGAAGAGTGAGTATCCACTGCGAAGAGTGAGTAGTGCTGTGTGGTAGTATATCAATACCCCGAAAACGAAAGGGTTTTAGGACGTGAACACGACCCCAATCCCAGGCTCAGTGGGGCTCATTGAACGGAATGCGCAGTACACGCACACGCGCGGTGTGCGTGGAGCGGTTGCGGCGCGGCAGCTGGATTGGGCCAATGTGACCAACATGCAGTCGGAGCGATTGGCGCGGAGGAGACTGCGACTTGATGTTGGGCGCGGGACCGGAGCTTTGTTTGCGGTTTCCTTTCCAGTTAGTTGCAAAGATGGGAAGTTATGCAAGGAATTGCAGATTGGTGTGCCAATGTATTCTCATTCTTTTGCCGCCACTTGTTTGATGATGAGCTGCCTTGAATGTTTCAGCTCGAAGACTCGCCGGGTAGTAACTGACTAATCAGTTGATGCGGCATGTTTTCATGTGGGATTCCTCCAACAAGCCTTTTGGCAGATGTTTGGTTTGTCCCGCACCTAGTGACAATTCAAAAACTTGCTTCAGGGGGGTCCTCATTTTGTGAGTTTCAACAATGATTGACGCATTGATTGCCTCCTGGTAAGTAGGCTCCAGATAGTACATGTTTGATGTGATTTGTGTTTCTTAGGTAGCATCAACTTGATGTCTATGTGAGGGGAACCCAACAAAGACCTATGTTTGGAAGCCTTGTGGTAGATTCAATCATTCACCCTAAGGCAAGATCTTCAAATAGGCCCTGGCCCTTTTGATGTGGTGATTTGCTCAGCGCTCGGCTATGTGAAGTTGACCACCTTCAAGGCCAGAGAAGAACGCGAGACACCAGTGAAAAGGGTGGGGAAATGAGGTAGCAAACCCAGGCCAAACGTCATGTCATCATTGTCATCTAGAATCTTCATTAATACCCCTCCCCCGCAGACATGGACTGTAAAACAAGAGTCAACATGAGTCAATTTGGATGTTTCCCAAGCCACCTACTGTCCAATCCGTGTTAGAGAATACACATACTATCAAATACGTTAAAATGAATGCTTCCATGTCCATCACCTTTTCCTTTTTATTGAAGATCCTCCAGATTAGGAGCATTCCTTCTGTGTACACCGCGAAGTTCAGGACAATAGAGGGTGCGCTTGATCTCAAGTGATCTTAAAGTGTATTTGTATTCTTATTCCCCACACATTTCATGGTATACTGTATCCCCCTTTGCTTGAACGCAACGTCGAAAGCAGATTGTAAAGAACATCTAACTCAAACCCCTCAAAACCATGGTGATATGACTGATAGATATGTGTATGATGGCAGCAAAAGACCCCAAAACCATAGTGATATCGCTGATAGATATGTTTTGTATTTATGACAAGTGATTCTCCATGTGTTTTGTGACTCTATGACAGACAGAGTCAGATGATCGATGTACCTAGACAACCTCTGGACCCGATCCGCTCTGCAGACCGAGGCCTTGCTATGCATTTTGGACCTGGTGACCGATCAGCAGAGCCTTCTCCTCTGGGGCGGTGGCGGCAGCTCCACCAACGACCTCAACGTCAGCGCTGCGTGGCCAACGCGCGGGGGGCGAAAGGATGAGAAGCTGCAGCTTTTGCTGGAGGCCATGCACAGAAGTCTTTCTTTTTGGGGGGGGCTTCTTTGTTAGTGTTTGCAGAGAGTTCTGGGTGCAAGGCAAGCATCTATCACGTTTTAAGGTTTTTGATGGGGCTTCATATTTCGAGCAGATCTCAGCCGTTGGTGTTTTTTGTCACTCTTGAGAATGTAGTTTCAAGTCCAACCATCTCATCCTTCTTTCAGGGTGCTGCTGATATATTTTGCCCGAACACCTGAAAGTACAGGGAATCTACAGTGGCACACGTGCCAGTGGACTGTTTGGCTTTTGGGATGATGATGTTCCCTGCTTTACCCCTCCAATTCGTGAGTCGTAGTGTGTGAGGTTGTGTGTTTTGTTTGGGGTCCTGTTTTCATGAACACGGAAGATGACGGGTCACCTGTTTTCCCAACTTTGGCAACACATTTCAACGTGCGTTGCTTGCTGCAAAAAAAGCACGAGAGAAACACGTTGGACACCAGCTGTATCATTTTATGGGACAATGTGGTCCCCGGATGTTACATAAGATACCCAGTTTTTCTCCTTCAGTTTACACATGTTGTGCTTGCCTTACAGGACCGGATGATGGAAAAGGTCCCAGGGCATCCAACCAGCCTTTGCACCAAGCAAGATTTAATACTACTACGTAGCATTCGTCATGTCAATCATGATTTGTTATGGAACATTAATGTGTTTGTTCGATTCATCGTACTTGGAGAGACCCAACAAGTAGCAACGAAACAGTAGGTCAGTCACACTTGCCGCCGTTCTGATTTCTTACCAACCAAAGGTGAGTTTCTCCATGTGTGGAATATGCCAGTGGTCCACTCGAAACCACCCTGATGTAGATAATGCATGGTACAAGGAGTGTTCGGGAAAGGTCAATCTCTCCAACGGAATGCTCGCAAGGCCTTTCGGATTGCGGGTCGCTTCTTGGCCGAAGAATGGAGGTGTGGTCCGGCCATGCGGCCGTACACCGAGTGGAAGCATTCCGGCAGAGCCAGTTCTTTTTCGAGGGGCAGTCCTCAAGGGCTGGTGCTATTTTGGAGACCTGATGTTTTGTTGAATTAACTGAACTATTTCCCATGGCATGTCACCTCAGCTGAGTCTGCAGAATTGCTTGAGGGTGTGATGACAGGGATTGATGTATTACAGGGTGTCGTTTGCAGGGTTGCTTAGATACATCGTTAATCATCGTTATGTTCACACTCTAACACGTCCTTTTTAGGATCCTTGAATACGTCGTGAGGTCACTCTCTCTACACCCGTTCCCGGTCCCGGTCCCTTCGGCACCGGTCGAGGCCCGTTTCACCTGGGCGGGGAAGGCGCGCTGAAGGATTTCAAGTCCTTTAAGCTCCGGAGGCGAAGCCGTTGGCCCGGCTGCTGGAAAAAGGTGTGGATGCTAGCTGAGGGTCGCTGGTGCAAGCGCGAGGGAGCAACTGAGGGAGCAACTGGGGGCATCCACCTTCCCATAGTTCAACAGGGAGCCGTTCGGACTTGCTAGGATGGTGGTCACTGGTCACTGATTCACCCAGCTTCCTGATTCCAACCTCCAAGTTGCCACCCCAGAGGACTGCAGAGGTGTATACACTGGGGTGCCAAAAGTTGCGCTTCTTGACTTCTAAAACATAAACCCTTTCCCCTTAGAATCCTACGTGCAACATGTCGACACCTAAGTTGCAGTCAGATTTCCACACCTGAAAGCCTTATAAGTATAAATCTAAACGGGTGTGGAAATCTGACCGTGCTGTACCTGCCATGCAAAATGGACGTGTTAATCCGATCCGCTGTAGACCGCAAATGTCATGTTGGAACAGAGTAAGAAGCGTAAACTTTAGGGTTCTTGAAGTATAGATGGTTTCCAGCAAGAGATAGCCGAGAGCCGAAGGTTACCACAGGTGTGACGACATAGGTGGTACACCCTGAAGTGATGGATGTCCCAAAACCGCTGCTGCTGGAGGAACTGGTGTACCGCTGCTGCCTATGGACCAGATGGACATCACTTTTCCATAGTTCCCATGATTTTTGTGTTTTTCATTGGCTTCAATGAACCAAATGGGGAGAGACCCCAAGAAGCTCCAGCGGTTTCTCATAGACTGCGGGGGGGGGGACGGCACAGGTCATGTCACCTGGAGCCCAAAGGGTCGTCCACCAGAGCGGCCACACCAGGTCAACCTGTCGGTTCTCCGTGACCGCCATATGATGGTATTTCAATAGGGGAACCTCCGTGGTTTAGATGGGTTTTATATCTCTTTTTGATACGTTCGGAGGTCGAACTGGGGGGTCTCCCTATGAAAACTACACAACGTCATCTATCACTCGCCCTCCAAGCCTGAGCCTTGCACCCATCCACCGAGGTCGATCGGATGGTGTCGCCACTTTGAAGTGGACAGCGTTGCAGCGTTGTTGAAGAGATTTGGTCCAAAGTCCCAAAGCAACAGAAGATAGGTTCAATTATATATGCTCAATTATGTTCATATAATGTCTCAAGACATGTTCAAGAGGGTTCAGGGTAGGCCAAGGAAGCCGCTGGTTTGAGTCTTAAAACCCTAAGGTTTCCAACACAAAAAAAATACGGGTACGCCACGAGCTTGCGACACCCGCAGAGCAAGGAATGGGAGAGAAAAGAAGATTAAGAATCAAGAAGACATTCAGTAACATTCCTGACACAGGCACTGTAAATGTAAATGTCCAGAGGTCCAGAGCTCAGTGGTAAGATGTGTGTACAGAGCACAGCTGTGCTCTCCTATGCATCAGGTGTTAGCCAAGCAGGGCTAGGTGTTTTCAGGTGTTAGCACGGGGGTATGGGGCTGGAAAATGCAGTCTACCTGTGAGAGACCCTCGTGTCAAAAGGCTAGCCTTTGCATCGCTAAGCTGATTTGGCTTTTGTCTAGTTCCGATTCAGAACTGTATTTGATACACTTATTGCAGAAGAGTTCTGCGTGTTGCAAGAAGCATTGCAGAGGACAACGCAGTCAAGGACCCTCGTGCAGACATCCCCACCCTAGAGGGATTGGTAGTTTATTGGTGTGTGTTGAGGAAACATAAAGGTAGTGGTACTGTATCTCTACTTGCTTGCTATGTCAAGCAGTTAGAACATTAAATCCCATAAACGCCCTATGACACCGGAACCCCCGCCTTGCTGCCTCATTACCTCTAGTCTATTTGTGAACCACAACAATCTGGAACTAACCAGATTTCGAGCTTAGTGCTTGACCTAAATCCACAAAGGATAGAAATTGGCGCTTGGGTGGAGCGGCTGTGGCGGGTGCTAGTCACCAACAGTCTTGCAGGCACAAAAAGGAAAGCCCCTACTCTCCTTTGCAGCATGAGCTGTCACGAGCTCGACAAAGTAAGACAGATTCAGTTCTCGAGGGTCCAGGTTGATATAAAACCCTAGGCTCCTAGGCTTGAGCCATAGCCACACGACGTTGTTTCTCTCCAATTTTCCAAGATCACCTATTAATTTCTTGAGACTCCGATGATTTACATCACGACACGATGGGATCCACGTTTGAAGGACATGAGTCGGATCCAGCTTTCCAGGCTGACATGTTTGAGGCTTGAGTCAAAGATGTCAAAGGGTCGCATCGCAGTTGGCAGTTTGGGCAGAGAACTTCTCAACGGAATCTCCCCTTTATATTGGTGCATGGAGAATAACATATACTGTATATGGTTTGGGTTGTCTGAAGTAGCTGGTAACATCTGGTAACCATTGACGTCCAATTGATCTACGATCAAATCTTCAGGTTAGGAAAGAATCCAATTTGATCCATATTTGGACTGTAACTCTTACTCGTAGTATCATCTCTCATCCACCGTTCCACATACCATTCTTTAATCCAATTTTTAGCACCCAACCCCCCCCAAAAGAAGTCAACATCGCCCCTCCCAGTGCCTCGCTTCAAGTGGGCTACTTCTGGATGACGGGTTGCATCGCCGATCTGTTGCAGGTGCCCTTGTCCAGTCGCAGCCTGGTAGCCCAGCACGGTGGCCATGGCAGTCCTAAGAGGTCGTTCTCTACGGGCTTAACCGTATATCTAGAAAACATGTTTTGTGGTTTTGTATAATATGTCATAATATGTCTTAATAAAATTGTTTGGAACCATTTAGAAACCGTTGTCGGTATCATTTTTCAACATAACATGTCTTAACACCGTACTGGTTTTGATGAGCATGGCACAATGATCCCAATGGGAATGAGTGGATTCATCCATCATTGAGCAGCCAAGGACATGCTCCGCCAAGTTTCACCATGTTTGGAGGGCCGGCATTTACAGCTCGGGGCTGTCGGGTCTTGGACCACAAGACGAGCAAGAGAATGATCGGATTGACTGGTTGTTCCATTGTTGTGCATTTTTTCATACTGAATCTATACTTCAGATTGGTCATAGGATGTTATAGGCTTTGCACGTCTTACAATCGCAATCCGTAGCAGGTTGGAGCCCTCCAAATTAACAAAGCAGAACTCCAGGAGACATGCACAGTGCCTCCCACGGTCCCACAGTCGGTGCTTTGGATGTTCAACAGCGCTAATTATTAAGTTCACCCGAAGCTCAGCATGCTATTCTTGGATGCGGAACTTGAAGTTCTAGGAGTGGAATTTGGATCTTCATCACGCTACCAAGTTCCTCTTTCTTGCACGTTCAGCCGCTGCTTCCACTCCTGGACCAGCCGCCGCAGCTGCTTTCTGGTCGACCCAGTGCTGCTTTCCCTCGGCCGCTCCGCTCAGCTCCCACGGCGGTGGCGGCGAACGTGGCCTCCGCGCTGCCCTTGCAAACCGAGGCGAGGGGGCTCCACCGGGGCTCCACCGGTCGGTCCACCGAGATCGGAGCGGGTCCACCGCTTTGTGGTTCCCCCAAGCACCGTAGTGGATCCGACCGAAGCCTCAGGTATGGTGAGGGGTGAGGGAGACGAGACGACTTTTAAGTAGGCGCCAGGGTTTGAGGGGCCCAGTCAGTGGCCCAAACCTGAGAAGGTGGCGGTGGATCTATAGGGAATAGAGAGTGGCACGGTTTCCAAGACCTTTGAAGAGTGGGGATCTACGATTTTCTATCTATGAGAGGGGGTCTATACAATGTGGGTTGGAAGTCTAGATGGCAGATGGCATAGCTGCCATGGCCTCGAAAGGAAAACGCGGGGTGAACGACTTCATTTCCAGGGAGAGTAGCTCGGGTGTTTTTGAAGTTGGGTCAGTTCCTGCTTGAAGAGTTGGGCTCCGAGTTTCTATTGATCCAAGATTCACAGAAGGACGCACAGAAGGCAAACGCCGGCAAGTCACCCACTTGGCATGAGGGGCACAGCATGTCCTACACCGGCTTGCCTGGCATGACGGGCACAGCATTTGAGAGAGTTGACATAATATGAGCAACCGCCAAAACGTGCACTGACTATAAAATTTTAGTAAAGAGCGGTCGTGAATTTTTCAGGAATTGTGCAAACACCTGCAAAAGCGATGGGCCATCCTCAAAATCGATGACCTTGCTGAATCATGTCCTCCTACTTGACAGTACGTTTTGGAAGACGCTCACATGTTGCATGTTCTTCGTTCATGTGGTTTCAAGCAGGTGGGATACTTTAACCAAACCTGTGCTTGTGGGTATCCCTTTTTTAAGATCGGCATACTGTTTGGTGGGTGTGGAACATGTGTTTGAGTATGAGACATGCAGAGAATCGTCCAAATCGTCAAGACCATGGGATGTTTCTAGTTTGGGCGATGTTGACAAACTATGAACAGGTCGAGTGCCAACCTGGTTCAGGTCGTGGAGAAACGAAGAGAAAGGGAACAATGGAACAACCGAGAAGAGTGGAGACCCAGAGTGTCAGACGCTCCGTGGGGCTGGAATATAAGCCCTCATTGACCCCTGATCACCTTGTAGGTACAAAAGTATGCCAGTCAATCCCATGGAGAGCGTTTCAGAAGGGTCAGCGGTCAGAATATTAGATATAGAATCCCTGTGGGAATATACCCCTATAAAGTAGGGCACCTAGGTTCCCTTAAATTACCGTTTTATAGCCGCAAGATTTCAAAAAAAACTGGGGTCCACCCTGAAATGGACTAAATGCATATCCAACATAGATCATGTGGGGTTCCTTTTTGTATTTTATAGTGGCCAGAGTTTTGTGTTTTCTGGTCTCTTAATCTTTGCAACACTTTAATAATTGAATTTATAGTAAATATAGTAAATAATTGTTTGTCATGTATGATTAAAATTAATTTATAGTAAATATATGGAAAACAAATCAACATAAAAGACACAATTTTATAGAGATTGGAATGTTCTAGAACACTATGGATGGTTATTGTTAAATTCTTTATTTATTTAGTTATATTGAAGAAACATAGAACAATTTTATAGAGGAGTTGTGGAAATGAATGAAAGGTAATGGATGTCAATTTTATACAGATTCTGGTCCCTATGAAAACTATGGTTGGCTAAATTTAATTTTCTAGATAGATCAATCCAAATCATGCAGATGAAAGAGCAATTTTATACAGGAGTT